ATAAAAGCCTACCTTCCCTCCAACACCTCCCATTCTCTCATTCCTAAATCCCATTTTCCATACAAACCCTAACTCTTCCCTTCCTAGCCTTTCCACACTGCCCAGTGAAACACATTTTCTGATGTGAATAAACTTATCCACCTCCTCAGCCATTCCCTTAAGAAGTACTCCTTTCATTTCCCTGATAGACCAAGACCACATTACTCCCTACATCCCTTTCCCTTCCACCTTCCCCTGCTGTGCTTCCCACCTGTCACCCAAAGATCAGTATTCCACTCTCCTCTCCCAACGACTTTCATTTCTTAGGGGTCTGTGCCATCTGCCCATACGGCCTTCTAAAAGTCCTTATCATGACTCTCTACCATGCTCCACAGCACACACTCTCAGACTTCCTGCAAGATTTTAGCAACTGGCTCAGTCTTACCGCTCAATGACAGGACTTTATCAAGACCACTTTAAAAAGGGCATATCGAAAGAGCTGTGTTAAAATATAGAAACGAGGGGCGCCTGGGTGGCTCAGATGGTTAAGCGTCTGCCTTTGGCTCAGGTCATGACCCCAGGGTTCTGGGATCAAGTCCCATATCCAGCTCCTGGCTCAGCGGGGAGCCTGCTTTGCCCTCTCCCTCTATCTCGCCCCCTGCTCATGCTCGCTCTCTGTGTCTCGAATGAATAAATAAAATCTTAAAATATATATATATATAAAAATGAGAAATTTATATATATTATATATATATAAATATATATATATATATTCCCAAGAAATGGGAATAATAATACCAATATCTCAGTATCTCTGGTATCCTTGGTCAGCAGGAGGAGAGACTATTGAGAAGATGAGGCCAAAGATGGGGTGAGGGTTGGGGTGAAGCGAAGCTCAGCAATGAAGCAAGAGTGTCTTGGAAATAAAAAAGGTATTACAGTTAGGGGCGCCTGGGTGGCTCAGTTGTTAAGCGTCTGCCTTCGGCTCAGGTCATGATCCCAGGGTCCTGGGATCGAGCCCTGCATCGGGCTCCCTGCTCCGCGGGGAGCCTGCTTCTTCCTCTCCCACTCCCCCTGCTTGTGTTCCCTCTCTTGCTGTGTCTCTCTCTGCCAAATAAATAAATAAAATCTTTAAAAAAAAAAAGTATTATGGTTAGATTTTTAGACTATATGAAAATATCGTTTGGATAAAAGCGGCCACGTTGAAATGTCACATGCCACAAAGGAACTTTGTGGCAGATGGAGATGTTAGAGACTGCGATAAAATGTAGTATACATGGGGTGTATCATTTTTCAAAACTGACACCTTAACATTCGTGTATCTCACTGAATGTAAACTAGACCTCAAAAAACCACCTGTAAAATAAGAATAATGATAATCAAGTGGGTATAGGTATACAGACAAAATAAGAATGACAGAATACTGAAAACTGCTGAAGGTGGGTATTGGATAAATGAGGGTTAATTATACTATTCTGTTTATATAAGTGTGAAATTTTCTATAATCAAGTTTTTTAAATGTCACGTACCCATCTCCCACATACCTCATGTTCAACCATCATACCCTGCATGGCTTCAACATCTACAACACAGCTTCCAACACTGTAATTTCAATATTTACCACATGTTTCCCAACAGCCCAAAAAAGCACTAAATCAGCCACCGTGCTGGACATTCAAATGTTCCATTCCATGAGCACTACTCTCCAAGAGCTCAACTTTAAGAAATTTTCCCTACTGAGCACTATCTTCCAATTTGTCCAGCTTCTTGCTGGTGCTGTGTTCTTGCTTTTCACTTTGTAGCTTCCACCCCTAGATGCCTGCCTACCTACCTAGTCTTCGTTGTGTACTGGGGACACAAATATGTACTAAAGGCGTCCTACAAATGCTTGTGAGGACAAAAAATAGAAGCAAATGGGGGGGGGGATACAAAATAGTTACCTTTTGACCTCTATTCCTTACTAGAACATTTCTTAACTCTTTCACGACTTGGATTTCATATTTATAACTCTAGGAAAAACTCCTTGGTCCAAGATTACCAATGATTCTCTTGTCTTCAGATTCAATGCTCGCTCTCTGATACTTTTATGCGACCTCTCCCTTTTGGCTTCTGTGCCACTGCAGTCTTCTTGGTTTTTTCTGGAACATTTTCTGCTTCATCCTAAGCCTCCTCTCCTTTGTAATACCTGTACGGTCTAACAGAAATTTGTGCAACTCTCAGTATGTTCTATGTCTGTGCTGCCCAATATAGTAGTAACTGGCCACATGTGGCTATTTAAATTTAAACTAACTGAAATGAAATTAAAGGTTTTGTTTCTCAATCAGGCTAGCCCTATCTCAAGTGTGCAAGAATCTAAACAATGCAGCTCTATAATCTCTTACTCATTCTCAGGACTTCAGTTATCTATCACCTCCAAAGACTGACTTGCAAATTTATGCTAAATAAAGTCATCTGGAGAGTTCCACAAGCAACTCAAATTCCAAAATTAATCACCTCCACCATCAACTTCTCCCTTACCTTACCACAAACACATTTCCCCTCCCAACATCCTTAGTTCTTTCAGTAGGATCCAACACCCAAGTCATCTGAACTCTCTATCCCTCTGATCTAAGCCAGAGTCTATATTCCCTTTGAGTCTACCTAACTGATCTCCCTGCCTCCAGTCCAATATATATAATAATAAGCACATTGTTCCTGCCAGGTACCATTCATTCAACTGGTTAACTTTGCAGCCTTTTCTTTTTCAAAGATATTAATGATTCTCCACTGCCTACAAATAGAGTTTAAATTTCCTAGGACAACATAGCATTCAAGACACCTCTTCCATTAAGTTCCTCAGATCCTCACTATCTTCCACCACATAGTAATCCCCTTTTCTGAATTCCCATTGCACTTTTAACCACATTTATAAAATAGCCAACTTCTACTTTGTTAGAAGGTTATATTCATTTCTTATTATATCAAAGGCTCTTTAAAGATGGATGTCATGTATTTGATATCTTTCTATCCACCGACAGTGTCTGATAAAACGACCAGTATAAAGTAGGCACATAATAAATTAGATCTACTGATTATGATAATTTCATTTGAGTTATAGACCAATTCTTATGTGTAAAGAATTTTCAGTATCTCAAAAGTGGCCTAGGCACTAAATTATCCCTCTAATTTTATCAAAGGCAGACAAGTACTTGGGGCACACACAATTCCCCAAGTTACCTTAAGTATGAGTCTCAACCTACTGAAAAACAGCCTTCATATTATGGTCATGTACTAACAGTATACAGAATAAAACTGGGGCTAATCTCTTATGTCTCCTAAGGGAATACAGGAGATTTTCTATTTTAAAAACAGCACTTGTATCAACATAGGAAACTGATATTTCAGGAGCTCATGGGATATAAATGATTCAGGTGTGACAGGATTCCAGTGAGAGAAACAACAAATTATTCAATGATAATGACGGTTATCATTTATTAAGCACTTATGAGTATGTCAGATATACTGTTCTAAGCACTTGACATGTATTATTTAATTTTTTTAAAGATTAATTATTTATTTGGGGGGGCATAAGCATGCAAGTAGGGGCAGGCACAAAGGGAGAGTGAGAGAATCTTCAAGCAGACTCCCCACTGAACACGGAGGCCAACTCAGGGCTCGATCTCACAACTGAGATCATGACCTAAGCCTAAACCAAGAGTCGGACACTTAACCAACTGAGCCACCCAGGTACCCCTGTATTATTTAATTTTTATAAAACTATGAGATAGGTACTATTATTATTCTCATTTATGTATTTTTTAGAAATTAGGCATAAAAGGTAGATCACACTTCTAAAAACAATTCTTCATTAGTATAACTTAACAAATGGGTAGAAGATGTACGTGTGAAAGAGCAATTATAGGGGCACCCGGGTGGCTCAGTGGTTAAGCGTCTGCCTTCGGCTGAGGTCATGATCCCAGGGTCCTGGGATCGAGCCCCGCATCGGGCTCCCTGCTCTGCGAGAAGCCTGCCTCTCCCTCTCCCACTCCCCCTGCTTGTGTTTCCTTTCTCGCTGTGTCTCTCTCTGTCAAATAAATAAATAAAATCTTTAAAAAAAAAAAAGAGCAATTATATTTAAGTCTCAAACTAGGGAGTCCCAAGATCCACACCTGCTTCAGTTCACTACATAGAACGTCCTAGAGCCTCAATGTTCCCCTTGATCCTTAGGCCTCAGAGTAGTTGTTAAGAATCAAATTAAATCAAAGAGCACTGGACTTAAGGTCAAGAGACCTGGAATCCAATCCCTGCTGCTCTGACCTTTACTACATATAAGCCTGTGTACAAATAAATCCTACAGTTTCTTTGAGTTTCATCCATTCTTTTGACAAGTATGGAGTACCTAAGTATGTGCCAAACATTCTGCCAAGAGTTAGGAATGCAAAAGTGAACATGACAGATACAGTCTCCTGTCCTCACAAAACTCAGAGCCTAGAGGTGAATACAGATGAGTAAAAAAAAAACAATTATAATTAAAGTAGGTTAAATGTTTGGATAGGAGGGTATATAGAGAGGCACCTAATTCTAGACTTAAGGGTCAAGGAATACTTCCCAAAAGGAAATGACTTCTAAGCTAAGACTGAAAGGATGAATATTAGGTAGAGAAAAGTTCCAGGCAGAGGGAACAAGGATCAAAGATGGTGCACAAAAGGCAAGCATTAATAGTATATTCTAAAGAAGTAAAGAGGATTTAAAAAGCAAAGATGAGGGATCTTTCTGTATAATTTCTTACAACTACATGTGAACCTGCAATTATCTCAATAAAAATTTTAATTAAAAAAAAAGCATATATGAGAGTACTCTATAAATTGAGAATAAGCACCTTAGCTATTTCATTTAATATTATTACTAATAATATATTCCATAATGTATTGCTACAGAGAGCAAAGTTGGAATGATCATTATAACGGAAATAGAACTACTAAGGACAGCTAGTGATCATATTTCAATAGTTGGCCAAAATCTGGAAAATCATGATTCAGTACCTTTCACATCTGGTCGATACTGTAGTCCGTCATCTTTTTTTCCCAACAAACTAGTGTCATCTGTGTCTACAAAAGAAAAGTTTTCAAATTAAGACACACAGAATGTTTAAGTCATACCATGAAACTCCCAAATATTCCAAATGCTCTAGGTCCTTCCCAACTCTATCCACTTATCTTGCTCACATTTCTCACCATTCTCTTGATCTATTGTGCTATTTCTACCTCAGGCCTCAAGGCATCCCAAATATATACACACTCTGCAAGATGGACAACCTGGTATCATTTAGACTTCAGGTCAAATGTCATCTCCTTAGAAAGTCTTTCCTGTGCAAACTAAAATAACACATACCCCAAAGGGAAAGTATTAGCCCTCTCTCCAAGGGACAATGGTCTCAAGATTTACCTCTCTTACCACTGTTTCCTTGGAAACATATCAGATTAAGATAAAAGTGGAATCTCAGCTATGTTATCAGAAAAAACTTGCAATAGAAATGACCCCAGACTGGTGAATTGTATTTGGACTGCAAAGACTGTAAATGAACCACAAATGGGTGTTAGAAGCACAAGCTTTCAGCTTCCCACTACATAGTGAGGGAGGAAAGGGAAGGTATAGTTAGGTATGAATGGAAGTATTATCAAGAGGACCAAGATAAAAGTTAAGGACCAACTACTCCAAAGGATTCTAGATAGGCATGAATTTCAATTAACAAAATTCTCAAGCTTGACCAACTTGAAGTTTGAAATTGCAGGTAGAACCATTCAATCATGAACCAGTTCTTCATAAAAGGTATTATTTCTCTAAGCTACTGTTTCAACTTAGGCTCTAAATGCCACTCTATGAAAGAAAAACAAACCATACACTTCTTTAAGATCAAGGCTAAGTGGTATGTCTACCTACAAGGGGTCTCTATCAGCAAATGGTTTGCTCTCCCGCCCATATCTGACCTCCACATGGAAATCCTCTGATGAGCTTCTTGGGCATTCTCTGGTAGCTTAGACCAGAGATACTGCAATCCTTTGTGCAGTATTTCACAAATAATTTGTTACCAATATAAAGTACCAAACTCTGGCTTACAACACTTTTCCCTTAGCTTAGATAAAAACATATCCCTTTAATAAGTCCAAAAAAGGTAGGAGGGATGGACCTCGTAAGCAGGAAAGACCCACAAGTCCATGACAATGTGTCTGGCTCTTGTATGATGTACGTTACTAGGAACTAATTACATTATCCTAGCCCATATGTGTATTACTAAAGAAAGAAGGTTGAGAAGTTCTACCTTTAGTGACTGGATATTTCTAGTTGAAATGGAAAACTAAAACAAATTCTTAGTTGCTATCGTGGCTCTAAGCTATGACAAAAAGCAAGAAGAGCAATAAGAATTTTAAACTGAAGGTAATAATTTTTCCTTACATTCTATAACCTCACACCAAAATCTCTAACAGTACATAATATGTAGGGGCAAAAACTACAGAGAGATGAGAAAACAAAGTAAACTTCTATGCTCTAGAAAAAAAAAGATGAATATTTGGCAATGCTTGTAGTTTTACTGTAATTAAAATAAGCTGACTAATCACTCAATAGCTATAATCATTGCTATAAATTTGAGACCTTTAAGAACTATAAATGTGTCTACAAGTCTATGTTAGGAAGAGCTTAGTTACTACATGATCAACCAAAAAGCATGGTTTGCATCTTGAGAAGATGAAAATAAATGGAAACAAAATCTAAGTTAGTAACAGAAGAAATTCTAAAATGTAAAGTAATAAAAGAAACAAATAGAACATCAAAGACTTCTCATTTTACAAATATGGAACACTACCAAAATGACAAGTAAGATTTCAGACAGAGAATATTACAGACAGGTCTCTGGATGAGTAGAATGGATTTTACCTGTGCAATGACCAAGATGTCTTATATCAATTTGTTCTTGCTTTATACAAGATGCTTCTCGAACAAAACAAGGATTGTTGTAGGAACTCCCATCAGAAGCACACACAGGATTAAAACTGTAGCCACTGCAATCTATATTACATACACACCTGTAGGAAAAGACAAAAATTACCTATATTTTACAACAAAAGTATTTCACAATACTGTATTTCACTTTCTTCTTTTCTGCTTTCTGTTAACAGAAGTCAAAATATCGTTCTAAGTCACTGATAAAAGATTAAGCAAAGTGAACATTCAGCTAACAATTTCTTTCAGGTGAGAATTTAGAGATAATTTCATCTAGATATTAATCCAGTGGTTTCCCCAGAATTTTCTTATCTAGATACAATAATCAAGAGATGCCAAATGTCAACAATGTTAATTAAAAAGCAACATGCCATAGTGGAAAGGACACAGAACTGAGTCAAAAGTCATGAATCTAAATCCCAGCCCAACTAATTACTAAGATTTGTGTCCAGATTCTTTTCCTAAGTCTTAATATACTTATCTGTAAAATAGAGGTTAAAATAATATACCGACCCTCACCAAATAACTAGGAAGACTAAAAAACATAATTTGAAATAAAACATGTAAAATGAAAGCCCTCCAAAGTGTTTCTAGCTGCACATCTACCTATATCGCTGAGTGTCCACCCAACACTGAGACTGCACAAGGAGTCCCAGGGATGGTCACTCCTCCCAAGAACAGTAAAATCTAAATGAGAATATAAAAATAAAAAAGAGACTCTCCTGCTTCCAGCAACACTGTAGACTCAGAAACTAAGCTAAGCTTCCCACTGAAAACAACAAAAATTACAGGAAACGTATTTTAAAATATTCTCTCAAATGCATTCATAAGGTGACAAGAAATAAGGAATGTTCAGAACAAAAGTTAAATGAAGACAGGAATACAGAAAGGTCAATTGAGTTGGTTAAAGCTGATTTTCACCTTGAAAGTGTTTACCAAATTGGGTAAATTCAATTATCAACTTTTATAGCCTTGCAGGCCTCTGGAAACAGAAGACAAACAATACTGACCTACCTAGGATGGGGAGTTTGAAGACCCTGGAAAAGCTGTTAGCTCAAAAAGCTACAACTCTCAGCATGAGGGTAAACTAGAAATGAGTTTCCATATTCCACAGGGACTATTTAAAGTGGAAAAAAAAAAAATGCTGCCCTGAGCCATGGCATTGAAGAGAGGGAAGAAAAACATCTCCCCTGAGAATTAAAAACCACAAGCCAGCCCTCACATGGGTAATTACAACTTAAAATACTACTTGGGTGTTCTGAAAAACCTTAAGCCCAGAATTTATTTTAAGAGCCAAGGACTGGAAGGGGCCATAGGCAACTGACAGAAGCAAATGCAATCTCCTTTGGAGAAACCAACTTTATTATCCTTGACCTCAAACATTTTCCAAGATACACTTGTGAGAAAAATAAGCAGATCACACACTCAGTCATATATCTACAACAAATAAGGAAATAAAACACCATGAGTAGAACAAGCTGATTTGAAAATGAAGCAAGCAGAGGCACCTGGCTGGCTCAGCCTATGAAGCATGTGACTCTCAGTGGTAGAATTAACTTAAAATAAAAGGAAAGAAAGAAAGGAAAGGAAAGAAAAAAAAAAAGTGAACCAAACAGAACTTCTAATAAAGAATGTATTATTAGAAATAAAAATTTGGGGGCACCTGGGTGGCTCAGTTGGTTGGGCATTTGACTCTTGATTTCAGCTCAGGTAATGATCTCCAGGTCATGAGATAGAGCCCTGCATCGGGCTCTGCACTGGGTGGGGAGCCTGCTTGGGATTCTCTCTCCCTCTGCCGCTCCCTCCCCTCCATGGCATGTACACTCTCTCTCACAAAAAAAGAAAAAGAAAAAAAGAAAAAGAAATAAAAAATGCAATAGGCAGATTTAACAGCAGATCAGATAAATGAAAGGTGAGTTAGGGTACTGGAAGATAGATAAAAGGAAATTACTCAAACCACAGCAGAGTCAAAGAGGCGGTATACTTTTTAATCTAAAACAAGAGGAAGAGACATGGAAGACAGAAGTGACAGAATCTGGAAAAACTCTAATTGGACCTCAAGGAGTAAAAGGAATGAGGCAAGGGCAATATTCTCAGCAATCCTCGTCAAATTTTCTAAAGCTAAAAAAAGATACTAATCTAAATATCCAAGAAGCCTAATACATTCCAAACAGGATTATTAAAGAGAAATCTAGACACAGAGATACCACAGTGGAATTTAATAGCAACATCAAAAAAGAATACTTTAAAAGCAGCCAGAAAGAAGAGAAAGATTACTCTCAAAAAGGCAAGAATAAGAGAGACAAGTGTCTTCAAAAGCAATACTGAAGCCAAACTGTTTATTTCTAGCCCGACAGTGGAATAATGCCTGCAATGTGCTGAGACAAAAGAGAATTCTATATAAAGAGAAATACCTTTCATGAATGAGGGTAAAATAAAAGTAATTTCGAAGAAGTAAAAACTTAAGAGTTTGTCACCTGCTGGCTATCAGTAAAGGTAATTATAAAGGCAGTTGAACAATGATCTTATAAAGAAAATCTGAAATGTAAATGCAAATGAAGAACAAAAGCATAAATATGTAGGTAACGTTAATAAAGCTAGCCTTGCAAGGGCCCAACGATTTCACTATTAGGTAAGGTCCCTTAAAATCTCATACACAGGGGCGCCTGGGTGGCGTTAAGCGTCTGCCTTCGGCTCAGGTCATGATCTCAGGGTCCTGGGATCGAGCCCCGCATCAGGCTCCCTGCTCGGCAGGAGCCCTGCTTCTCCCTCTCCCCCTGCTTGTGTTCCCTCTCTCACTGTCTCTCTCTCTCTCTCTGTCAAATAAATAAATAAAATCTTTAAAAAAATCTCATATACATTTGTATCAGATTTAAGTTAAGAATGTTCACAGCAGCATTATTCATGAGAACAAAAGACTGGAAACAATCCAAATGTCCATCGATAGTAAAATGCACTGTAAAAGGATGTGGTATAGTCCAAAAATTAAATTCAGTAAGCAGTGATATTGAATGAACCATGTGCATTAATGTGAATGAATCCCAAAAACATAATTGCTAAGCAATAGAAGGTACATATAGAGATGATTCCATTTTATACAAAACTCAAAATCAGTTAAGAGATCCATCATATATGGTAAAACTATTTTAAAAAGCAAAGAAAATGCAGGATATCAGGTAGGTAGAGGAAAAATACATTCAAGGAGGAACATGGGAGGGCAGCTCTGAAGTATTGATAATATTCTATTTCTGGCTTGGGAGGTAGGATTCACAAAACTGTTTCACTTTTGTGCATTAAACCAAGTGTGTAAGTTTTCATGCACTTTTAAATATATACTCTATTCCACAATTTAAAAATTAAGGCACCAGAAAAAAAATTAACAATTCATATTTACTAAAGTCAGAAATGGCTTTTACATTTCGGCAGGGGGGCCGGGGAGAGAATGTGACAGAGACCACATTTGGTCTGCAAAGTGTAAAATATTTGTCAACTGGACCTTTACAGAAAATCCTTGCTGACCCCAGCTTGATGGGATATAAGTGGGCAAAATTGCAATGGCAATACAAGAGAAAAGGTGGCTAATGAAAGATTATAAAGCTATTTCAGGAGCAAGAAAAGGCCCAACAACAAAGGCAAGATACCGTACCAATTCAGCAAGGAGAAACAAGTGATTCGGCAGTGCGCACTGAGCACACCTGTGAGCAAGTGTAGGAGAAAGTCAACATTCCTCGGTAGGATGGTACCACTGTCAGACTAAGAGCTGTGAGAAAAAACCACGGCTACTGTTCTCAATGGCACATGAGGAAAGAAAATGAAATTACCATGCCTAGGAAAGTCCAGCTTAGTGAAACCATGAGCAGAAGAGGAAAATATCAGACTCCAGAGCCTGCTGCTATTACCGATTACAGGGATGACAGCTATGCACACTGGCAGCGGTACAGAGGGCAGGATGCCCAAAGCATAGGAGTGTACACTAGGGGGGAAAGAAATAACTTCAGTAAATATGCCAAATTCAAAACATTTAACAACCATTTACTCTGCACCTACTGTGTGGGAATACTCACATTTGCCTTATTTAATCCTGACAACAAATAATTATAAAAAGGGAAGATGAATATGAACAAAGTTAAAAAGCCTAAGATCACAAAACATAAAGTGGCTGGGATGGTGTTCTCTCTACTCATTAGAGCTGTTGTGTAAAACAGAGATCTCTGCATGGAAAGTGACAAATGAAAGGAGGTAAGCATTTTCCATATTTTAAAAAAAATTTTTTTTCTTTCTTTCTTTGAGAGAGAGAGAGAGCACAAGCGGGGAGGAGGAGCATAGGGAGAGGGAGAAGCAGGCTCCCCACTGAGCAGGGAGTCCAACTCGGGGCTCGATCCCAGGACCCTGAGATCATGACCTGAGCTGAAGGCAGACACTTAACTGACTGAGCCACCCAGGCGCCCCTTCCATATTTTTATCATGAAAAATCTTTTCACTAAACTGGCCTTCCTTTTCTCTCAAACACACCAGGGATACTCCTGACTCAGGGCTTTCCTTCTCCCTGGAACACTTCCCTCAGACACCACCAGGTTCAATCCCTCACTTCAAGTTTTTTCTCAAGTCTTAAAAAAATGGCCGAAAATTAAATCACCAGGCATCCATTCAAGAAGTTAGAAAAAGAACAATGAAATAAGTCCAATGAAAACAAAAAAGAAGGGAAAAAACAGAGGAATGGCTACAGATACATGGGGATATAGATATGGATATACAGAGAGATCTCAGCAGAAACAGAAAACAGTTACAACAGCAAAGATCAATAAAGCCAAAGCTGGGCCTTTGAAAAGACTTCCAAATCTATAAAGGAGGATAAATCCAGAAAGAGAGAAAAACATATCAGGAATGAAAATGACTAGATTCAGCAGGGATTATGGCTGAATAGATGATGAAGGGTTATTATAAACCACTTTAAGATAGCAAATTTGAAAACTTAGGTAAAATGATAACTTTTTAAAAATATTAACTATGGAATTTAACTAAAAAAGACATAGAAGCTGAATGGTATTTAATCATTAAAGAAATTAAATTGGTTGTTTGAAAA